GAAAGAAAATGAGGGCAAGTGGGGATGACATTGAATAAGGTGGAGGCACTGGTGGAACAAAAACAGCACCTCAGTGGAAGGAAGAAGCTTAGATCCTGGTTGGCTCATGAGATAACTCAGAACTAAATTTTTCAATTAACTTGGGAGGTTCAGTCTTTATTTGTAAGATGAAGGAGCTGGATAAAATGATTCCAAAGGATCCTTTAGAGCTCTGAAATTCTGAATCTGGACAGACACTGCCTTTTAAAAACTCTTCGTTACAATTTTTATAGACTGGAAGAAGCCCAGTGTTGAGCTCTGCATTTGAAAGGCCAAAAGAGAACCTAGAAATAATACACCCAAATTATCTATAAATAAGAAGCAGAATCTAGGAAGACAGTGACCATATCTTCTGGAGTTCCCAGAACAGTCTTAGGTTTATGGCTATTGTACCAGAGTCCCAACCAGCTAGTGTTTGTTTCATCACTGAAAGTGGCTCAGTTTAGATGAGTAATTTTATGACCACCCTACCTATAAGGTACCCCTTAGCATCTCCTATCACTATAGGCTGAAACCCACACTCCTTAGTATGCTAGCAAAACATTTGACATTCCAGTCAAAACACCATTCAGCAGACCCACAATACGCAAATCATACCTGACTACTTTCAGCTTCACTAAGGCAGGAACTATTTATTGTTCATGCTATCACCTACCTTCTCCTCCATCCCATGCTATAGTATGACAAACTCTTCCATATTCACTAAGAACCTGCTTTAGAAAACCCTCACTTGCTTCACCTCTACTCAGGGCCACACCTCTACTAGGGCATGGACCCAACTGCTTTGAGGCACTGTCTTGATCTCCTCTACTGCAACACAAGCTCTGTAGAGAACTTTCCTTGTCTTGTTCTCTTTGGCACATAATTGGCACTCAACACCATGTTTGATGAACTAAACTGAGTAAAGGCTCGGGCACCTGTGGTAGAAGGCCATGCAAAACATTCCTGGAGTTGAATTCCAAGTCTGTCACTGACAAAAGGAATGAGTTTTGACAAATGACTTACCCTATCCTAATCTGGGAGCTACATACATAAAATGGAGAGAAAGGTGCCACTTTCCTTGGTATTGGGTGAAAACAGCATTGAGAAGTGCCTCGTGTTGGCTTGGGCATAGACTAGATAGATAATAAGGTTAACGTAGCCTCTGTGGTGATCATTTCCAGCCTAAACAGCTCCAACTAGAAAACTGTTCCTTTCTTCTTCCCCAAAGAGAAAACCACTACCTAGATTTAATTTACTTTATTACCCTCCCAGGGCTCAGACACAAAAACTTCTATACCTTCACCATGATGTTTTCTTCCCAAATTCTGGTTTTTCTCTTCTGTAATTATCCCCAGAAATGTTGTCGCAAAGAATAGCATCAGAAAGGAAAGACTTACAACTAAAGACAGCCTGTGGTCAAATAAGGAAGAACATCTTGACAGCCACAGATTCAACCATGGAACAGACTCAGAAGGAATTCTCGCTAAAATGTCAAGTAGGGAGAAGCCTGGAAAGAGGTTACATGAGGTGCTAAGACAACAAATGAACAAGTTAACCACACCTAGAACAAAACACTCCCTTGGTGACAAGCAGCTACTGGTGCCCCCAACACCACACAATGGAAAAGGGCAGAGGAAATGAGAGTCCTGAGCAGCATCAAAAACAAAGAAATGAATGTTCCTTAAAGCTTTCTCTGCCCATGGACAAAGCACACAGAGGGCGGGCAGCAAGTGGGTACTAATAGGATCACAATGTTTCTACTTAATAGCACACTGCTGTTCAAACTTTACTACCAAATATCACACGTACCGGTAGCTGTTTTCATTTGAAAGAAGCAGTACAGTGTGGAGGCAAAAAACACATAGGTTCTAGAGCCCAAGTGCCAGAGTTTGAACCCTAATTCCTCTACCTACTAGCTCCATGGCCTCAGAGGAGTCACCTAGTGCCTCTGTACCTCAGTATTCATCTGTTAGAAAATAAGGACAAGAAATTAATAACTATACCTATGCTCCACAGGATTATTATATACAAATATTAATTTCCAAAGTAGAATTTTGCTGGGCACATGATTAATATTGCAGAAATGTTTGACAAAAGTAACTATTAAGATCCCATACTCTTGAGCAGTTTCTCTCCCTTTCTCAATTTCTGTATGACAATTAACATAATTATACTACTAATTTCTTTTTTCATCAAAAAGATCAATCTGTACTTATACTGGTTGATCAATTTTGCATGCCTATATCTTATAATCTGTTGAAGTACTTCGAAGACAACAATACACAATACAGCAACCATTGTCAATTTCCTATTGCCCTGTTCGAAATTCTGTATCATTTTTATTTTTTTTTCTCTCTTTAAACAAAAATCTCTTACTCACTGAGAAGCAGTTTATCTACACATTCTGTCATAAATCTCAAGGAGACCTTTATTTTTGAGTTGCCTCGTAGCAATACAGTTGTCTACCAATCAACCCTTCTCCTGATCATTGATACTGAAAGGTTCAAAGACCAGAGGTTATTCCAACACAGCTAAAATGAAACTGAAGGATGTCCACAGTTAGTCAGCCCCAGAATAAATGCAACTAAAACAGGCTTATTCCTGACAACCCATATTAGCCTGTCATTTTCCAAGAGGTACATTTTGAATAGAAGAGAGAGAATGTAACAGAAGTATAGCTAGATGTGGCTTCCATTCAGCTGAATAAAGAAGCATTTACCATAGGGAATTCACTGTGGATTTCTCTGGTCTTCAGTTTTGAAGACTTGGAAACTTGATTCTGTTACCACATTCACTCATTCAGCAATTACTTATTGAACACTTCCTTTGTGCTAGACAACTGTGACAGACCATGAGGAAAAAACAGACAACACAGCATTATAATCCCAGCCTGCCCAGCAAAGACCTGACAATCTGGCCAAGAAAACAGATACTAGAAATTAAAACCCAAGGTCCACATGAAGTGAAAACCTAAAGTAACAAACTCTCAGTACACCAGTTTACGATGCAATGAAATGCAGGTAGAACAGAACTCTAGTTTTTCCAGAGAGACACTCAGAACTCAAGCAGGCAGTGGAGTACATTTTTTGAACAACATCATCACCTTGATAAACACTGTTTAGGACTGTAGATTCCCTAATCTAAGCTTTCCAATACCCTTCCAGCTATATCCCTTCTATCCTTCTATTCTTGATGCTTTTCTCACAAGGGCAACAGTCCATTTATTTAGTTTCTGCTTCCTGTGTTACAATAACATTCCCACAATGCCTCATCTAATTTCTTCACCTATCATCCTATTTGGAGCTTTTCATATTCTAAAACTTCTTCCATTTTTCAGCTACAGAAATAATGTTATCAGTTCCTGAAGAAATTAACTTCATTCTTTATGGATTCTGTTCTCTTGAAATATTAGAAAGCAGAAATATTGCTGCTATATTCAAGTTTGGAGTTTGTGTGATTTAGGAGTTGGGATATAGATATTTAGGAGAGATGTACTACTATACATCTATAGCCTTATAAACCCTTAAAATAATTATATCAACATGCAAAAAGCCTCAATGAGACACAAAAGTTAATTTCACATGACTTATTAAGCATTTTGTACAACAGGAAATGCAAGAAATAACATAAAGATGAAAATTAAACCATTAATTGATAGGCTCATAGTTCCAAATGGTCCTATGAACTATGTAAGCAGCACTTAATGCAACAAAAACGTACATGCATATGAAAAATACCAATCAACATTTAGACCACTAGTAAATAAACATTTACATCAATATAGAAGTAAAATGCTTCATGTTATTTAATTTTATGCAAAAATAGTGTATATGGTAAACTAAGATGTGATTCATACATAACATGGAAAATTTATCCTCGTGGCACCAGGATACTCAAAGTCTTGTTGATAGTTAAACACATAAGGAAACTATTCTTGTACTTCCATGAAGCTTCCTTGGATGGAATAAGGCAATCTCTCATCTGAGATGATAGAGTCCCCAATGGAGATAATACTTAAGTGCTCCAGATAGTTAAGAGAAGTCACATAATCCCAGGCTGCATTATTTCAGTACTGTGTTATGCAAAGCAAAGAAAATTATAGGAACTTTCCATTGAATTCCTACAGAAAAAGATGAAATAATGAAAGTTTTGCATGCTTTGTCTGTATGTTTTATGGTGCTGAATCAACCCCAGGGCTTCCCATAGACTATCTGTATTTTACCAGTGAGCTACACCCTTAACCCTTATTATTTGTTTTAAAAGACTTTTCGCTTTTTAAAAAAAAAAAAATCATCAAACACTAATGCAACAACAAAAAAATAACCAATTGTCAACACATAAATTTACAATAAGATGAGGTTAGACCAGAACTTTTCTTTTTGTAAAATTAACCCATCCCTCCTACATAACCACAGGAACTAACAAGTTTTCATGAAGATTGTAATCACAAAATATCATTGTTTTCAATCTTTGTTTAATAAACCTATACAAAAATCTTGATATAGTTGGTTATAATAAAAATTGTAGAATGTTAATGATAATATATTTAGAAATAGATCACTAAAAAAATATGAAAATATATTCATATTAGCAAAAATACCTTCCCCCTGAAAATCAAGATTATAGAGGCCACAGGACAAAGTTTCACAATTTAAAGTCTAAGGAAACCTGTTAGAAGCTAAACAAAATTAATTGATGATTCTAGTATGTAATTCCAATAGTAGATAGCCAAACTCTTCAATGACATGCTTTATATCATCATCATCATATTATACCACTGAGACCAATATTTTGCTAATTCTGCAATTGTAGGACGAGTTGTTATAGATATTTAAAATAAAGATGTTTCATCCCCTCATAATTCCTGTGTATACATCTGGAAAATATTCATATTGTTGTTTACTGCTACCATAAACTAACGCAGCTTATATTAAGGTATTAGGAATCCATCAAGTGAGTTATAAGAAGACAGAACTTACCAAGTACAATGACCACAGTCTTCAGAAGACTCATCATGGTATCCCGATTCCGCCGGGGTCCAGAACTATGCCGAGACATTCTCATAGTCCTCTGGCGAACATACCCAAAGATGTGAGCATAAAGAACCACCATTACCACAAAGGTCACCAAGTTGAAAATGGCCCAGAAGACTAAGTAAGAATCACTGTAGAGGGGCGCCATGTTGGAACAATTCTCAATATCACAAATACAATTCCAGCCCACACTGGGTATAGCACCCATGACAATGGCCATCGTCCAGATGACCACAATGACCACCACCACTCGCCGGTTGCTCATCCGCGTGTGGAGCTGCATGCGGAAAACTGTAATATGTCTCTCAATTGCAATAGCCAGTAAGTTGGCCACAGAAGCTGTCAGGCTGGTGTCAATGAGGCCCTGACGAAGGAGCCATGTGCTGACAGTCAGTCTCCGAGTGTTGGGTCCTGTGTTGAACATTAGGTAGAAGTAAGCCAGCCCAGCAAAAAAGTCTGCAGCAGCCAGGTTAGCCATTAAGTAATAAATAGGAAAATGGAAGCGACGGTTGACGTAGATAGCCACCATGACCAAAAGGTTGGCCAACATGATGAAGATACAGACAGTGATTCCAAGTCCCATCACCAGCTTGCTGACTGTGTTCCATTCTGTGGCAAGATACTTTCCACTCCGGTTATAAAAGAAGGCGATAGACTCGTTGTAGAAGCATTGTGGTTCATTCATGGCTGTGAACTAAAAAAGAAAGGAGGAAAATGATAATAAAAAGATAGAAAAAACCTCACACAAATCCAAATTTAAAGATGATGGGATAACAACAAGACTTCTGTGGTACAGGCAACCAAAATAACAAAAGAAAAAATCTGAAAATCTGATCCTGTGAAACATTCTATGATTATACTAAAGCCCTAAGGTTTCTCACAGTCCTCAAGATTAAAGACAGTCGGAGTTAAATAAATGACAAGGTCTCTGGCTGGTGGTGGCATGTCATTGAAGTCTACTGGAAAAGCCACATGGCCCAGAAATCTTACTTAAAATAAATGAGACAGACAAAATTTTGGAGAACATTGCAATTGGACTATTTACTATAGAGAAATCTGTTTTGACCTGTCATTTGGGAAACCTGTAAACACAGATGGCTTATGGACAGGGTATCATTCTCCTATTATTCTGCATTTTTACTCTCACACAGTATGTTCCATCAGTGACAGACATTTTGTGATGCAGGTTCCCACAGGGACCATTGGTCTCAGCATTTCAAAGAGGTCACTGTCCATCAAAGGTTCTTTGGCCAAAGCCAGCATCTGATGCTCAACATTCCTGTGGTCAGTAGAGCCTACCCCTACAGCTCCTCATCCCCAGAATAGAATTCATCAACACTCAAGGAGATTTTTCTTTTTGGAGAACCTAATGTAACCTCCAAACAGTAGTTGATACTCGATACTGCTCTATAAGAAGTGAAAGATATTTAGGTTACATTAAGTTTGTCTTTAAAATTTGAAGTGAAAATGCTTTACAATGTTTACTTATTTTTTAACATCAATCATTAGAATACATTTGCTTATTATTTATACTTACTTGAAGCCAAAAGGGATTGAGGCAATTTTAAATAGAATAATATGATCAATAAAGCTACTAAAGCAAAATTATGAGAGACACAGTAGCACACACCTGTAACACCAGATCCCAGAACTTAGGGAAGTTGAGGCTGGAGGATCTCAAATTTGAATCCCACCAGAGCAACTTAGTGAGACCCTGACTAAAAACAATGGGGGGCAGAGTTTAGGATGTAGCTCAGTGTAGAATGTCTCCAGGTTTGATATCCAGTAGTGAAAATAAGTGGCAAAATTAGAAAATATAAAGCAACAGAGGAAAACTAGAAAATTGCATGTCGTATATCACTCTTCCTGAAGCTTTATGTTTGAGACTTCTAGAATTAGAACATGTTTCTTGAGTATTTCACATTTTACTGTTTTTAAATCATGGTTTATAATAGCTTAGCAAATATGAGTTTTTAATCACTATTTGTAATACTATACTCTACTGAATATCTATGGCTGAATGTAAATGTTTACCAATCATTAAAAATTACAAAAACAGTGTAAAATATGTGTTAGTTCTATAAAGTCATTTTTCTCAATTTGACTTCAATAACTTCTAAATCACACTTCTAGCATTAAACAAGCTAGATAAAATTACTTATTGCTTTTGTTTTCTGTTTATTAAACAGATTTTGCTTCAGGGGAAGAGTAAAGCCCTTGTTCAATACCCTGAATATCTCACACACTTTTCACTTTTCTTGACTCATTAGAGATCAGAAAACTTGGCTTAGAGTTCCAGTGTACCTTGAATCTTGCCATTACTCTGGGTAATTTATCTAATTATCTTGCCTTTTTTATTTTTTTGACCTCATTTCCAATGACTTTCTCTTCAATTACAACCCAGCTGCCCTAATAGGCCCACCCTGGAGTTTGCAAGCATCCAGAACTGTCTCCCTTGGGAAGCACTTGAAGCATTCTATTTGCTTTTTGTAATTTCCGTTCTTCAATCTTTGTCATTTGGCTCCTAGCATTTGAAGATATCTTTACCCTCATCTCTTCTAACTTTTCCCATTAGAATGCCCTCCCCACCTTCCCCTTTCCTCTTTTTCAGCTTACATTTCATAGTAATTCATTTTAACCTCTTTATTGATGTCATAGTCTCTTCTTAAAGATATTAGGGTCAAATATCCTTTAGAATTTAGAATTTTTCTGGTTTTAAGAATAAAGTGTATATTCCATATATAATGTCTTTAGCAGAGTAAAAGGTAGTGCTCCATAATCATACACATTCATTCGTGAAGCAAAACACGTGAATATATATATATATATATATATATATATATTCACTCATCCATATATATATGTATGTATATATTCACTCATCCATATACATATGTATCTATATATATATGGATGAGTGAAAGCTATCAATAGACGTACATTAATTCATTCAGAGTTTTGGCACCAAATGAATTATGGTAAGTCTTCAGCCCTCAGAGTTGCTTAAGTTTTGGAATTTTTAATACAGAAACAGAGGGTATATCTTTTCATTTCTTTGCCCTATTACATTACCAAAGCAGTGGTATTGATTGAATCCAATTTGTTGCTAATTCCACATGTCCTAAGGCTTTCTACAAAGTTTAGAGAAAATTCACATATTTCCAGATTGATCGCATTATAAATTCATGATGTTTCTCCTCAAGTGAAACTTTGATGCCAGTTTGGTTTTCTCCCTAATTATTAATCTATATATTCTGCACAATGTTTATTTTATTTAACCATTCTCAGCCTTTTAGGCCACCTTGTTTCCTCTTTCCATGAGCAGCTGTCAAACAGATGAAAACAGGAAATCATCAGATTTGAATTCCTCCTCTTTTTTCTTTCATTGAAAAGAAAAGTTATCTGATCAACACCCCCTTTCTCTGCTTTCCTAGAACAGGAAAGTGTGCTCTCTGCACACAACTACTCTGATTCTCTTCTCTACCTACAATTACAAGAATCTTTTTCTATTATTTGCTTCCTTTCTCTTCCATCTGCAGTTTCTTCCCTTTTTTCCTCCTTCTCTTTTCCTTTCTTCATCCCTCTATCCTTTGTCCTCTCCCTCTAAGGACACACTTTCCCATCAGTAAAATTAAAAATTAAGTCTCTGACATCTTTAAAAAGAAGGAAAAGTTCTCCAATAGCCTCACATTCTGTTTCTGGCCTGCCAGGTTTGATTCATTTTCTCATTCATAGCCAAATCCTCTTTTATGTCTGTCTCCCACTAATTTCTCATAGTGTTGTTTCTACTCCCACCCATCTATCAAATTCACACCTAATCAACTTCTTGAGATCTGTTATGACTTGTATCTAGATGTCCCCCCAAAGCTTCATACACTTATTGGTGGGGCTTTTCAGAGCTGGTTGGTTCTAGGCATGTGACACTGGGATTAAGGGTGGGTAGCACTAAATTAATGCACTGATTGAAATTATATGAAATAATGAAAGCCCACCATAGGTATAGATGTCACCAATAAATAGATTTATAGCCTGGATGGAAGATAAAGAGAGAGCAGGAAGGCAGGCTACTTCTGCTGCTTGCTGCTTTTGTTCCTTCTGCCTGCAATGCTATGAACTGTTTCTGTTCTATGATGACCCTGTGATACACAACCCTGACTTGGAGCCTATTGACTATGGACTGAAAACTCTCCAAATTGAGAGCCAAAATAAACCTTTCCCCTCAATTTGTGGCTGTCAGGTACTTTGTCTCAGCAACAAGGAAAGCATCTAAGACAAGGTCTATGTAACCCTCCAAAGTTACTGGTATCATTGGGTGGCCATTCTAATTAACTTTTTTTTCCCTCTGGCTTCCCCAGAGCATAAGACACATAAAGGAAAGGTGGTTCTTCTGTCTTTCTTTGGCTTTTATGACACCATAGTCTTTTGGACTTTAACAATGCTCTCTGGCTAGTCCTTCTTGGTAATTTTTTAAGCGTTCCTCTTCCTTGTCCAGTAGGAATTGTTATACACTCTTTATCATCTCATTTGTTCAACAAACTTCCATTGAGTCATTTAATTTATCCCCTAAGATTTCAATTCACCCTACATAACCCATATTTTCCCAATTCTAGATATTTAACCATAATTCTTTTCTGAGTTCCATTCAAATATAGAATTATCTGCTGATACCTCTATTGACTATCCCATCAGTACTTCCATTTCAATAGTCAAAAAGCCAAACTCAAAAACCTTTTCACCATCTCCAACATGCTCCTCCTATATCCTCTATCCAAGTGTCTATCTGTCTGTTGGCTTGAGTGCTAAACATGGGACTTCTCTCATTCCCATAATTTATATCCATAATGAAATCTTAGAAATTCTCTTTTCTGAATTTCTTACTGACCTAAATACTTTATTCCATCCTCATAATTATTGCTATTACTACTATAATGGCTTCCTAACTATTTTTTTCTACTCAGTCCTCATCTCTTCTCTAGTAATCTTTCTAAAAGACAAAATTAAGCAATCTATTCCTCTGCTGAAAACACTTCAATGGTTTACAAATGTGCTAAGCTTGTCAACTATCTTATCAGGACTTACCTGCCTCAACTCAAGCTACTGATGACTTCAGACTTTGCTTCAACTCTGTTTTAATGTGCTGCACTCTCTCTTATTTCCAGTTCTCAGCATCAGTGACAAGAGTGGTTTCCTGCATCAGAATCATCAACGGGGTTTATAAAACACAGATTGCTGGCCATACCCCAAGAACTTCTGATACAGTAATCTGAGGTGGAACTTCAGATAATGCCTATCTTGTGGATTCAAGGACCACAGTTTGAGCACCTCAGTCCTTCCCCAATTTCTATCAGTGAAATGTTCCTTTGAGTCATTCTCCTCAATCACTCTTAAGTTTGGGCAAAGTATTTCCTACCAGATACATGTGGCTCCCCTACAACAACACCTGGTAGTGATTGTGTAATGACTGCTTAATTATCTATTGATCCCTCTCAGCGGAGCTAAAAACTAACCAAGGTAGAAATCCTGGCTTTTTTATTCTTTGTTGTATGGCAGTAAGTGTTAGATGGACTGAATGGTAAATGAATGTTAATTGCATTAATAAGATAAAGATAATTCCAAAAATGTTTACAATTTACAAGTTTCCTTTCTGCAGATGTTATACAGAAATTGTAAATGTAAATACAAAATTATTCTTTC